CCCGGGGATGACGGCGTCACTAGTGAGGCTTTAAAAATAGGTGAACCTGTTCTGAACCCGCATATAATAAATTTCTTTAATTCGATCTTGCGCACTGGCATCTTGCCTTCCCACTTCTGCCACTCCAACATAATATTGCTCCATAAAAAAGGCGACAAAACAGAGATAGGTAATTACCGACCAATAAACTTCATTTCCCACATATATAAAGACTTTATTAAGGTAATAGAGAGCCGAATATCAGGCTTACGGGACCAACACCAACCACCAGAACGGGCAGGTTTTCGCTGTGGCCTCTCTACTATGGACTATCTTCAGTCTCTAAATCAAGTTATTGAGAAATATTCGGAATACCACCTACCACTTTACCTAGCCTTTGTCGATTCAAAAGCCTTCGACTGTCTTGAGCATTTAGCCATTTTCGAAGCTCTAAAAAACCAGGGCATTCCTGCAATATATATACAACTTCTAGAAGAAATATACCGCAATAGCACAGCAGCCATCAAATTCGAATCCACAGGTCCAGCTTTTAAAATACAGCGAGGAGTAAAACAAGGTGACCCACAAAATTTTTTAATCCTACTTTGGAAGAGGTGTTCAAGACCCTAACACCCAGCTGGATGGGGAGGGGCATTGACGTCAGTGGAAAAATATTGACTAATCTACGTTTCGTCGACGACATTGTTCTCTTCTCTTCCTCAGCTGCCGAACTCGATATAATGTTAAACCAACTCAACACCGCAAGCCTCAAGGTTAGACTCTACATGAACAGGTCGAAGACCAAACTCATGACCAACTCCACAGAACACAAGATACAGGTAGGAGACGGGGGAATTGAGTATGTGCATGAGTACTTGTATCTAGGCCAATTAGTATCCTTTCAGAGCAGACAAGGTGCTGAAATCAGAAGACGCACTGAAAACGCCTGGAAGGGCCATTGGTCGATGAAACATCTGATGAAAGGCGACTTACCACACACGCTCAAAACAAAAAAAAAACTCATGGACGTGTGTATTCTACCCATCCTCACCTACGGCGCATAAACCTGGTCACTGACAGCACGGCAAAAGTTCAAACTTGGGGTCTGCCAACGAGCTATGGAGCGCGACACCCTGGGAGTCAAATTGTCAGACCGAATTAGGAACAGTGATTTGCGCTCCAAAAGACGAACCGCAGATGTAGGCCAACAAGCCAGTAAACTAAAATGGGACTGGGTGGGTCACGTCTGCCGCATACCAGACGAGTCGTGAGCGAAGGCCACCACAGAATGAATCCCCAAAAATAGAAAAAGACAATGGGCAGGCCAAAGCGTCATAGGAGAGACGAGGTAGACGCGCACCTAAAGGACTGGACCTCAGTGGCACAAAACAGAGAGGCGTGGAGAGAAGGGAGGCCTTTGCTCAGCTCATAAATAATAATAATGTATGTATGTCTATTTCTATGTCACGCTGTACAGCCTAAACTCCTTGATGGATTTTGACATATGAGGTGTCGTTAGATGTTAAACTTTTGTATAAGCAACAATTGAATAGTATCCCACCTACTTCTATAACGACCATACCACCAACTGCTCCTGATCGTATTAATTGTTGCAATAGATGCGCCACCAAATTGTTAAAAATCAGTGCCCATCTAATTCTTTTTGGAATAACATTACTGTTGTACCTGTACCACCAGAGATAGATTGTCTCTCTGAGATGGAGCTGCGTCTCTTTGGCTGCGTAAAACCTTTTACAAAGGTAGTACGTTTGCTTTCAATTAATGCAGCAAGTGCAGGAATAAGTATTGTCACAGAGATATTGGAAAATGTAACTACTAACAGAAAGTTCTCGGTGGATATTGACAAAATTAAAATGGCATTAGACTGACTAGTGTTTCATAATCATTTATATTGGAGTGTGCGAATTAGTTCAAATATAAAAAATGAAGAGCTGCGATCAAGTATAATGGAGCGTATTGTAACTTTACGCCTGGATTGCGAACAATTTGAAGAATTTCGCATCTCGTGGTCGGCATTACACGGAAAATACTGCGCCTTAATATTGCTATCTTCTTATTATTGTTATATTATTATACTTTGCCGGAAAATTTGTTCCATAATAAAGTAAAAAGATATAAATAAAGTAAATTATTTTTAAAAACAAAAACCCGACTGCAAAAAATAAGTGAAAAGAGATAAACACATCATCATATTTACATAGATATATACATCATCATTAATCCTCCGCTTACAAATAAAGACGAAGATCAAGGGCGAGCTCACCCGGCGACTTACTGCCTCGCACGAAAAAAAGGTCATACAACTCTTGACCCACGAGGAGTGGGAGACAGAAAGGCGTCACAATTCTTGCGCCATCTACAAGATTTGGCAGGACCGAGTGTTCCAGAAGAGTTTTTGCGGACGATCTGGAGCAACCGTCTACCAAGAAGTATACAAACGGTGCTGGCATCCCAGCCTACACATTCCCTGGAACAACTAGCTCATCTAGCAGACTACATTCAGGAAGCCTCATCGTCCGGCAATGAAATTAAAATGAACTTAGGAAAATGGCAGAGCGTCTCGCGGTGAAACTTAACGAGCACACACGTTCATCGCGGACAGCGGATTGCTCAAGATCATTCGATCGCCCAGCTTCACGCAGCGGGTCCCGATCCCGATCAGCCTCTAGCTACCGACGCTATCCTATTTGTTGGTACCATGAAAAATTTGAGTCGAGGGCACAGAAATGCCAGAAACCGTGTAACCACAAGGCGGAAAACAACAAGGGCAGTCGATAATGGCGACGGACGATTGCCCCGCCAATCCAGGTCGCCTCTTCGTGACGGATCGCAGAACGAGGACCCAGCTTTTGGTTGAACCGGCAGCAATCTCTGCGTTTTCCCTCGGTCCCTGCTACGAGAACGTCGTGCTACATGTTATAAACTTATCGCCGCCAACGAGATCACTATCAATACCTACGGCTACGCGTACCTCAACCTGGACCTCGGGCTTCGTCGTTGCCATCCATGGCGGTTTGTAGTGGCTGATATTACTAAGCCCATTATTGGTGTTGATTTTTTGTGTTTGTATAATTTAATAGTTGACTGTAAAAACCAAAAGTTAATTGATAACACCCTTCTCTTTCTACACTAGCTTCACAGGCTCGTAACGCTAACTATATACTTTCCGTTAAGGTTCTGACAGGTGACTCAAAGTACCATATTATGTTGTCGAATACATTTCCCGAAATTACGCGGCAAGCTGGTACACAACGCACCATACCTCACAACATACAACACCACATCCGTACTACACCCGGCCCTCCAGTGTCTTGTGCACCTAGGCGTTTAGCTCCAGATAAGCTTAAAATCGCTAAAGAAGATTCGAAGCTATGCTAGCCAACGGCACAACTAGACCTTCTGAAAGTCCTTGGTCGTCTCCTTTGCACCTGGCACAAACGAATAACAACGGATGGTGGCCTTGCGGTTACTATAGGCAACTTAACAACCGAACCATCCCGGACATGTACCCTATTCGGCATATACATGACTTCGCCCACAATATCGCCGGCTGTCGTATTCATTTCAACCATCGACCTTGTTAAAGCGTGCAACCAGATACCGGTCAACCCAGACGACGTGCTAAAAATGGCAATTACCACGCCATTCGGAGTGTTAGAATTTCCTGTTATGACGTTCGGACTACGTAACGCAGGTCAGACATTCCAAAGATTCGTGGATGAAATGATGCGCGGACTGGATTCCATCTATTGCTATTTAGATGACTTTCTTGTGTTCAGTGGAAACGAATTCAAGCAGGAAATTCACCTAGCCAGTGTTCACCAGACTTCGAAGACATTGTAATAAATGTATCAAAGTGCGTTTTCGGGGTTTTCCAGGTAACCTTCCTAGGTTATCGCATCTCGGAGAACGAAACCGGAACATTAGACGAAAAAGTGTAAGCCATACGCGATTTCCAGCCGCCCAAGGACGTAAGATCCCTTCGGAGGTTCCTCGGCATGGCCAACTTTTACAGGCGCTTCTTACCCGGCGCCGCGTAAACTCAAGCACCTCTCAATGCCCTTCTCGCGGGGTCGGTTAAAGGCTCCATGCCAATTAACTTAACCGGCGAGGCCTTGAAAGCTTACAGCAAGACACGAAAGAAAGTATCTCCAAAGCAGCCAGCCTTCTGGCACACCCAGATTGTCATGCCAAGCTGGCGTTGGTGACAGACGCTTCAGACACAGCAATTGGAGCTGTCTTACAACAGCTAAAACATAACTCGTAGCAGCCACTCGCGTTCTTTTCCCGAAAGCTGAGCACATGTCAACAAAAATACTCACCGTACGATCGAGAAATTCTTGCCATCTACGAGGCAATAAAATATTTTCGACTCATGCTCGAGGCGAGGCATTTTACAGTTTACACAGACCACAAGCCGATCAGTTACGCCTTTCACGAAATGAAACGTAATTGCTCGCCCAGACAGTTCAGACATTTGGACATCCGACACATCGCCGACTGGAATAATACTGTAGCCGATTTTTGTCTCGCGTCGAAGAACTTAGTAGACCAATATGTCTCACAGACCTCGCCAAAGCACAAGGCAATGATTCAGAACTGACCCACTATCTATCAGACAGCTCGGCTCTCCGAATCAGAAAAATAGATTACCCTGGAAGTCTCTCACCATTGTACTGCGATGTCAGCACACCGACTCCTAGACCATTTGTCACAAAAAAGTTCCGAAAGCAGGTGTCTCCATTCTTTAAGTCATCCCGGCGCCTCTGCGACTGTTAAATTCGTAACCGAAAGATTCGTATGGCAATAATATGGTAATCAGGAAAGATTATCGAAACTGGGCTCGGACTTGTATGGCTTGTCAACGTGCAAAGGTGAGTCGACATGTGTCCACGCCAATAGGCACTTTCGATTGCCCCCTGCATGCCTGAGACTGAGTTTTGTTTGTTTACTGTACCTGTGAGCCGGTTCGGTTCACACTCGCTTGTAAGTACACGTACCTGTATAAGGTCATACAATTCGTTAGGTTCATCAGCGACCAAGTCAAATTTGGTGGTGCAGTAGAGGCCTCCCGGACGCCTCAAGCATGACTCGTAGTTGTCGTACTGAAACAGGGGTGGCATGCGCGCGTATTCCGACTCTGAAATAACAAATTGAAGTAATTGCAGTCAGTTTAATAGCGGGTTAGATGTTTAGCCCCTTAAACCGAAGCAGGCAGCGCCAAACGCGTTTGGAAGCTGGCCCCAACAATCATTCATTTCGAACGATGTTTATTTTATTTATTTACATTTCAGACAACATAATAAGGCCCACAATTGTGTTGATGAGTCTTAAGTCTACGTTAATACTTAATAATTTAACTGCCTCTGTGGCCGAACGGTTGCCATGACTGCCACGCCGAGGTCCCAGGTTCGATTCCCCGGCCGGGAGAAATATTTGTATGGCCTACATTTATTTCTCTCGTGAATTTGGGTGTTATTTGTGATTGTCTATGTATCTGTCCATGGCACCTGTGAGACAGGGTTTCCCTAGTCTGGGGCTATGTAGAGTGTGTGCGTTAAAAAAAATTATAACATTTTTATTAAAAACACCGACTTCAGAATTTTGTAGAACTACATCTCTAAGTATTATTTTATGTATTTATATTTCAGACAACATAATAAGGTCCACAATTGTATTGATAAGTCTTTAGTTTACGTTAATAATTAATAATTATAACATTTTTATTAAAAGAACTGAGTTTGTGGAATTACATCTAAGTATTTGCCAAGTTTCATTGAATTCGGTTAACGGAAAGCGGGTGAAATCCAATAAACCGGATGCATTCCCTAATTTGACACCCATAGAGGTGGAATTTCTTCACATTCGCGTAACAACACACCGATTAAGTTAACTGCCAAACTTTGCACTTTTATTTTGTTTTTCTAACGACGCATGAAAATGTAGCTAGACCATATTAATTTACTGATAAATTTATTTCATTGTAGTCTATACCATATTACTTATTTGATAAATTTATCAAATTGTAGCCACAATCATTTATTGATTGATAATTTACCTTTCGGACTGTTGGTCCGTCTCTTGGTTCCTCTAATGGGTCCCGTAATTTATCAATAAATTAATATAGGCTTTATTTTCACGTATCGTTAGAAAAACAAAATGAAACTGAAAAGTTTGGTCTTAATCAGCGACAATTCAATGATATTCAGCCGAGGAAAAATCCAGTAGACCTCTCTCTACGGACAGATTGTAGATTTATTTAAAATAATTGTAAATAGATGTATTCGGATATAGAAATGGCTGAACTTGTTCTCCCAAGAGTATTTGGAAATATGTTATGTAGGTACTTGCCGTTTAACTGTCCTTTTGAAGTATACACACAAAATACGACATTAATACACGCAAGAAATGCAATAAACGACACATACACTTCCATGTTCACTCGCGATGAAATTCTTTTTCAAACTTTGTAAAAAAAATCACAAAATGTCGAATATTTTTTATAATTTGCTACAGAATTAATGTTAACAACTTAACACAAAGTCACCAGCAAATACTTTTAGGATTTTTAAATTAAATTTATTTTATTCTATCTTGTGAAGAAACAAGAAGATTTCACTTAAACGCCGCATGTACAATCAAAACTTTATTTATTTATAATTTCAAAAGTTTATTTCATTTACTCAAATTATTTCTTGCTTTTATAATTTATTTTTTAATTTTAATGCTTGTTGGAAGGTGCGGAAATAATATCAAAGTACTTAAGAGGCTTAACCTCACGAAGTACGTGCTAACAGTATCAAAATATTCGTATCACAAATATTTATAAGTGAAGTATGCAAAGCAAAAAAAGCAAAGGACAAGAACAGGAAAACTAACAGATATAAGGACAGACGTAAAAAAAACTGGTTGATAGTAGTTGAAGATATCCATAATCTGATGACGACAGAGCTCCATCAAAAAATTTAAGTTAATTTTGTTTTCATACACATAGAGGGAATTTGAAACATCCTTTCGTCATGTTAATCGCACAGCTGAAAATATGGAAGTGTAGATGTTAGACGTGGCCATCGCACCTTTATACGCTTGCCTAGAAGGTACTGTAGCGTTATATTTCTTTCGCCAATACCGGTGGTCATGTTTGGGCATCAAACCGCATATAAAAATTTAATATTATAAAATTCACAAAATATTTGACGTGAAACTAAGGAAACTTTTAGAATAGGGTTGCCGCTCCGCTAATAAAGTATATAATAACACCTACCTATCATTTACATGACTTACAAGTGAAGAATACACTGCGCCCGTCACCTTGAAGCATAAGTTCACAAGTTTCATGTACCTGTAATTTCATCAGCATCCTTACCCGGAACCGGAAAATATCAAAACCGGAACGCAGTAATGCTCACATTACTACTTGGCGGCAGAAATAGGTAAGGTGGCAGTACTTCCCTGGGAGAGCTTACAAGGAGCTTTTTTTTACTTACTTACTTCGGTGGCGCAGTGACCCTAAATGGGTCTTGGCCTCCGACACCAGATTCTGGCACTCCTCCCGGTCCTGAGCCTGCTCCTTCCAGCCACTAGCACCGAGGTCCTTGAGATCTTTCAGGCTTCATCACTCCAGCGGTACCTGTGGCGTCCGACCGGTCGGCATCCTTTCGGTTGTCTCAAATAAGTCCTCTTTGCGGCACTATCTTCTCCCATTCTCTCCACGTCCCTGCGGCCTGCGGAGTCTCGCAACTTTTGTTTCTCTCACAATATTGGGCCCGGTAGTTAGATGTTCAATCTCAAGGTTCTTTCTTGCCCTCCAGCTCCCATCCTGAAGCATCCTCCCTTTGAGTCGGTCCCAGAATTTTCCGTATCATTTGTCTTTCCGCCACTAACAACTTATTTTCCTCTCTCAAGGTCAGTGTCCGAGCTTCGGAGCAAAGAACTTTACTGCTACTCAAATTTTAGGGAAGTTTTTAACATTATCGCAATTTTCAGCCTCGATCCGTCGAAAATCGTATTTCGAAACTTCAATGGTTATTTGTTTGAGTGCTTGTATTGAAACCTGAGCAAGCGCAGGATTTTAAGATTGAAAGAAAAGTTCAATATTAGATTCCTGACCGTAGCAAGGGTTTCAAGGCACGAGACGCAAAACAACACATAACTTTTCATCTCACTATAGCGAAAGTGGTAGAAGAAAGAAAAACGGTTGAACTATAAAAAATCAGTTTTATTCATGCATACTTAAAAATGGTACATTAATAATTACTTATTAGTTGGTAATATTGATAGTCACTTTTTTTTTGGGTCTGTAATGCTTGTGCTTGAGACTTGTGTACTATTACTTAGTAAATTGTTTGGCAAATTTGGAGAACGTGGCCCAATGACATTCGAATCCATAACGGTGAATGTTGGAGAATGAGAAAGATTTGCAGGCGATTCAGGACTATCTTTGGCGGTTGAAAGACGAGACCAAAAAGCTGCATAAGGCTGCTTTAATGTAATGCCTCCAATAATGCTCTTACATATTTTTAATTTATTTTCTATGTAATCTTCTATGAAACCTTCTGTCACGGTACTGGAATTCCACAGCCCACGTATCACTTAAGCGTAGCCAGGTCAGCGCCTGAGTTAGCCAAAAGTGTGGCCGACATCCACCTAAAACAATGCCCCGTGTATAGCTCTGGTTCAGTCAGCCCAAGAAAAGTTGCAATTTCTCGTGGCAAACTGCCAATTTTTGTGCTTTCCATAGTGTTTTTCGATGTTTCTTGTAGTAAGACAAGTTAGTTCATTAGTCCGGCACGCTCCACTAATGACAATAACAAGGACAACCTGCAACATTGCCATTTTGTACGTTCTTGTATTGTGTAATTAAGCTTAAATTTAGGTAGGTTCACAAAGAAACATAGTCAGTAAGTAAAGAATATACCTACTTATGTAATTTAAAGAAAATTGTGTTATCCGAAAGGCGAAAGTCGCAAAAAGGAGAATGACGAAATCTCTTCGCGGTGAACCCACCTGAACCGAAGTTAACAAAATTTGCTACTTTTTAGCTGGATAGTCCAGGCTTTTTACCAGTTAGTATTACAGTTAGTAAAGGGTTTTTCAATTGGCGCGGGTAGATTTTGGCGGCCCGTGGCGACCATTTTGTTGTGGTGACATCTATGAAATCTTTTGTTTATTATTCAGTTGCTTATGCCAAATCATCGTGGCAAGTTACACGATTGAACAGCACGTTCAAATGATAAAACTTTATTATCAAAATGAGTGTTCGTTAATGCAAACGTTGCGCGCATTGCGCCCATTTTACGGTAGACGTGGTGGCCCTTCACAGTCGACTCTTCAACGTTTGGTGGCCAAATTTGAGACCACCGGTTCAGTAAACAATCAGCCAACACCCGTACGTTCAAGGAACGCAAGATCGGCCGAGAACATCGGTGCGGTCCGTGAAAGTGTAAAGCAGAACCCGAGGCAGTCGATTCCTCGCCGTGCACAAGAACTCGGCCTTTCGCAGACTTCAACTTGGCGAATTTTGCGTCGGGACTTGGGCCTACACCCGTACAAGATCCAACTGACCCAGGAGCTCAAAGTTCATGACCATAGACAACGCCGTTTGTTCGCTGACTGGGTTTCAAATCGTTTGGAAGAGGACCCCAATTTTGGCCGAAAAATCATCTTTTGTGACGAGGCGCATTTTTGGATGAATGGCTGTATTAACAAGCAAAATTGCCATATATGGGGCGACACCAACGCACGCGAGGCTCACCAGGTGATAATGCATCCTCAAAAAGTTACCGTTTGGTGTGGATTTTGGGCCGGCGGCGTCATTGGTCCGTACTTTTTTGAAAACGACGTTGGTGAGGCGGTCACCGTCAACGGCGAGCGCTACAGAACGATGATAACCAATTTCTTATGGCCCAAATTGAACCATATGGACCTAGACGACATGTGGTTCCAGCAGGAACGCTACGTGGCACACAGCGGACGTCACGATTGACATTCTGCATGAACGATTTGAGGATAAGGTTATCTCTCGCAGGGGTGATGTGAATTGGCCACCAAGGTCATGCGATTTGACCCCGCTAGACTTTTTCCTGAGGGGTTTCTTGAAGTTGCAGGTCTATGCAAGTAAACCGCAATCGACCGATGCCCTAAAGGTGAACATAACACAGGCCATCGCTAAAATTCAGCCCGATCTATGCGGAAGAGTCATTGAAAATTGGACCACTCGGATTCGTGCCATCGTAAGAAGCCGAAGCGGGCATTAGCATGATGTCATATTCCATACTTAATGGCATACATGGGCCTTTCAAATATATATGTAATAATTTTGTTAATACCTCACACACAGCTTGTTTTATTCCATTTCAACATCTACCCGCCCTTATTGAAAAACCCTTTAGTACAATAGCTTAAATACTTACTTTTTTACCAAGAAATTCGGGGTCCGGCGCATCGTTGGAGAATCGTTAAAATTTCTTGAAGGTGAAAATTCTTGATTTTTTTCTATTTGTGGTCACTCGATATTGTTTTCAAAAACGCTAATACACTTCTGGACACATCTATTGGCCCACCTTAGAGTTTAGGTTTCGGTGGCCCCTACCGAAATATGATTGCTAGATTGAACAAAAACTGTTGATGCAGTTTTAAACCTGATACATTTTACCATCTTTTTCGATCGTATTGTTTTCAAAGTCAAAGTCAAAGTCAAAGATGATTTATTCCATAGGTAAAATAAATTTACACTTGAAAACGTCACATTTAAGGTACTGCTCGTTCACTACGCTGACCTCCCTGAGAAGAACGAGCAAGAAACTCTAGGGATTGCTCTTTTCAAATAAACTTAAATGCTATGGAATACATTTTGAATCAAATTTGTGTGGATTCTGGAGCCATGTCGTCTTTCCATACATCTTTATCTAACACGTAGTCTTCAATTTTGTAATATGCTTTTTCGATCAAAATATTTTTAATGTACTTTTTAAACTTAGGAAATGATAAACTTAATATATGCTCCGGAATCTTATTGTAAAAACGTATACAGTTCCCCATAAAAGAGTTGTTTACCTTGGTTAAACGAAATCGTGGTACCATGAGTTTGGACTTAGCTCTAAGGTTAATATTATGGATATCTTCTTTCTTATTGAAATTATGTATATTTTTACGGGCATATAAAATATTTGAGTAAATGTACTGTGATGCCACAGTCATGATACCAGTCTCCTTAAACTTTTCTCTGAGAGATACCCGAGAGCCTAGACGGTACACAGAACGAATCGCTCGTTTTTGCAATACAAATATGGTTTGAATATCTGCCGCTTTACCCCACATGAGAATCCCGTAGGACATTATACTATGGAAGTAACTAAAGTAAACTAGTCTAGCAGTACTAACATCGGTAAGCTCACGTATTCTGCGGACTGCGTATGCAGCGGAGCTTAATCTGCTGGCCAGGGACGATATATGTGGAAACCACTGAAGTTTACTATCTAAGGTCACTCCCAAGAAGACTGCTTTATTAACAAGGTCTAACTTTTCTCCGTTTATTTCTATGCTTGGACTAGTCGATTTTACGTTAGGTAATTCAAATTTAACACATTTTGTCTTCTTGGCATTAAGCAATAAATTGTTAGCATTAAACCAATAAACTACTTTAGAGAGGGTATCATTAATACGGTCATAGTTAATGTCATGTCTGTCTGTTTTAAAAATCAAGGATGTGTCATCAGCAAACAACACTATTTCGCAATGGTCCTTAACAAAGAATGGCAGATCATTAATATAAATCAGAAATAAAAACGTCCAAGTATTGAGCCCTGCGGAACACCCATTTTTACTGGAGAACCCAAAGAAGTCGCTCCATTTATGCCTACTTTCTGAATTCTACCGTTGAGATATGACGAGACAAGTTTCGACGCCTTGCCATTTACACCGTAATGTTCCAGCTTACTAATAAGAGTATTATGATCAACGCAATCAAATGCCTTTGAGAGGTCACAGAAAACACCAATAGCGTTCTGGGACCTTTCCCAAGCATCAAAGATGTGTTTTAGTAACGCTACCCCCGCATCGCTAGTCGATCTACCACTAGTAAACCCGTATTGTTCACTATGAAAAATATGATTCCTACCGAAATAGGACAGTAATTGAGTTAGCAGAACCTTTTCGAATATTTTACTTAAAGCTGGTAAAATTGAAATGGGCCTATAATTGCTAGGATCAACTTTCCTACCGCTTTTGAATAAGGGAATAACCTTGCTGTATTTCATTAAATCGGGAAAAACACCTTCGTCAACGCACCTATTGAAAGCTACAGCTAACTGTGGGGAAATGAGATTAATAACTGAGTCTATAACTTTAGTTGATATGCCCCAGAGATCTTCAGTTTTTTTAACATGTATTGACTTAAAAGCTTTTATGATGTCTTGTGGATTAACATGACGAAAATTAAATAAACTGCCACAAACGTTAACATTTTCCTTTAGGAGATCAATAGCAAGTGAAGGGGAGGAATTTAATGATTTTGTAGTGTTCACAGCAATTTCCGAAAAGAACGATTCAAAAGCTTGGGCTACTTTATCTTTAGATTTTATAAGTTTGCTGTCTAATTCTAAAACTATATCTCTATCGTGTAGTTTAACCCTGCCTGACTCTTTATTTATTATGCTCCAAGTAGTTTTAGATTTATTTATCGATTGTCTAATTTTGTCGCTGTG